CAGCCACTCCTCGGAAGGAAGGTTGGGCAATCCTACTTCCGTAGTGATACTGCCTTGGAAACCCAAGGAGGGGTCGCTATGAGTCGGGGCCCACTCGCCGGCAAATAACAACAACAACAAAGAAAAAAAAAAAAAGAAGATGATGATGATAAATTCTCAGTTCAGTCTTACTTCCCATTTCCCAACACCCAGCTTCTAAATTAATGGAGTCTTGGTGAAGAGCACCAAGTCCTAGAAAAAGAGACAGGCCCTGTATCACAAATTAGAGTTTGGAGTTGAAGTTTTTCAGCTCTATCAAGCATGAAACAAGAGGAGGGATGAACAGCAAAACTAGTGAATCATGACAAGACTACCTCCTTCACTTGACCTACAGAATGCCCAAAAGGAGACTACTTTTGTACTTCATTCTTCCTTTTGAGGGAGAAGAGTAGGGTGACTCAGTGGGGAGAGAAGACTGTAGGTTGGAAAAGTAGTACATGATAAATTCCATTGTCTTTGAAAGATCAGAAACAGAGTATTCCCAACTTGTATTGAGGCCAATTTTCAGCAATTCTGGTCATAATAGGCCAAACCTTGGTAATGTTCTTAGCCAACTCTTCTCCCCTCTGAGAACCTTCAGTTCAGAAATCCTGGTGAGTGGGGCTACTCCAAGGGAGATACAAAGGGACCTAGACTGATTATCACCAAGCAACACTATTAAAACAGAGTTCAGAATAATTATAGCTGTTATTTCATCTCATCCAGAAAGAAGTGTATTTGGAGGAAAGGGATAGAAGACAAGAAGATAACCTCTAATGTTCTTTCCAACTCTACCATTCAGTAAAGCAATCTCCTGAGAGGATGAGACCAAGGAGAAGTAAAAATAACACTCTTAAAATAAGTGACCATTATAGGAGCTAGAGAATAATGGAAAGTAAGTGGAGCAGGGATCAATAACACCTCTATTCCACCAAACTCACTGAGCAATCTTGTCCTCTCTATGCCTAACAGGATAAAGTGTAGTTAGTTGGTGCCTTCAAGAGTCCCACAGATCCTCTTGCCCCACTAGCCCCTCTCTGCTCAGAAGTATGTTTAAGGAGAAGCCTAAACTCTGTAAAATGGTTCCTGCAAATTCTCTGTCAAGTAGAGTGGGGAACCAAAGAAGTGGAGATGCAGGATCCAAAGAGTGTTTTACATACACAACTTTCATTTCTGATCCCTGGCACCACCCTGAAGGCTGCAGACAGGACTTGTTCAAGGACTAACAGTATGAGATTCTGCCTCCTATGTACCAAGTGCCACTTTAGTGCCACTCGAGTGGCTCAAGCAATGCTAGGAATGGCAGGAGAATAAACAATCCACACAGCCCCTGTTAAAATTTAGCTGAATGCAGACCCAAAAGCCCTCAAATACTTCAAGGATGGGCTCTATGTTTGCTCACATAGATGGTCCCATCAAATGACCACGTGAATGAAATTTCCCCTGACCTGTTAAGCTAGGACAAAAAACCCAGCAAGTTGAAGAGGTCTTACCAAGACCAATCCTCTTAACTAAGATCTAGATTCAAGTCCTAACTTTGCCACTATCATGCTATATGACTATAGGTCAGTCCCTTCCTATCTGGGGGTCTCAGTTTTTCCATTATACAATGAGAGAGTTGGAATTGATAGTTGTAAAGAGCCTTTTCAACTCTGACATTTAATAAATCCTAAAGAGGAAAACCATAACTCAAAAACATCTGAAAAATTCAATCTTTTTTTTAGGGAATTCGAGACAGTACAAAACTCTTGTGAGCTTAAAAGAAAAATTACAGAGGTTAGAAAGAGGAGGTCTTTGTTATAACGATCTAATCATCATCATAAAGTGTAGATGACAGTTAATAGTTTATCTATTCTGGCTAATAAGGCACTGAGGAAACTGGCAGCCATAAGCAGAGTCTACAAATGGATGAGGTGGGGGAGAGCATGTTTTAACAGATTTAAGAGAGGCTGTGCAGACTAGGAGAGGGTTCATATGAATGAATGGGTTGATTTTCCACTACCTTTCCCTGCCTGTCATACTCATATTCCAGAAATAGCCTCAAACACATCAGTGAAGAAGGGGTTGAGAATAGGGAATTTTCTCCTTTCATTAAAGTTACTGGAAGGTATGGTATGCAGTGGACTAGGGTGTGCCCCTGATATCCCAGTATCAGAATAAAGAATGAGAAAAGTAATAGAAGGTATCTTGTGACACTCCCAACTCTCACCAGCAGACAACACAAATTCCAACATTGGTTACTTTGCCCAAATTAACCATTTCCTTCTTATCAGATGACCATAAAGGCCTGAAAACAATTTACTTTGGGCAAGAGGGGACTCAGACTTTAAGAACCCAATCAGTAGGTCAGAATAGAGGCTCAATAGTCTCTTGGGTCCCTTTCAGGTGAGATTCTATGGACTTAACAGGTGTGTTTAGGAGTTGTTTCTCCTAAAAGTTGACTGACCATTCTTTGAGCCGAACCAACCAAAAAAAAAAAAAAAAAAAAAAAACCACCAACCCAAACGCACTGCCGTGGAGTCAGACAGAATGGAAAATTCTCATGTTTCCAGTCTATCAAAATTCAGTCCTCTCCTTCAATATGATTCAAGCTTCAGTTACTCTGCATAAAAAATACTTTCAGTATTCAGTCACCTTCAATACCCTGGGAAAGACCTATACTCCAGTCTCTCTCCACACCCATAAGGATCAACATGTTTTCTTCTTTGCTGCTTTTGTCTAAGATGGATGGTTAAGGCAACTTCCATATCCATCAATTTCTGCTTAAGGGCAGAATATCTCAGAATTCAGGATGAAAGATACCACGGAAAGAGAAATCATGGGGGCAACTGTTTCCAGAGATCCACCAACTGTTTAGGCAAAGTTACACCTTAAGAGGATTCAAGGAGTCAACCACAAAGATGTAGGTCTAAAGAGAGGCTCCTGGAAGAATCTTTATAATCTTCTATGTTGGCAAAGACAGTGCTATTACCCCCACCCCTCTAAAACCATTCTCTCTCAATTGTGGGGGAGGGGTGTTGGGAAGAAAGTGTGAGAAAGCCTCACATGGTAAAACCAACAGCAATTTTAAAAGAGAGAGATGGTGAAAGCACATACTTGCTGAAAACTTGGTATTTCTGAAGGGCAGGGTTCTTTAAAGGCAATAAAGACTTGGCAATGAGGCTGGAACACACAACATGACAACCAAAGCTCAGCATACACCCAAAAAACTAGGCCCCACATTGTACCTCATCTCAGGAGCCCTCAGCCCTTCTCAAGGCTAACAAACAAACTCACTGCTGTCAAGTGGATTTTGACTCATAATGACCCCTCCTTTAGTTTCTGAGGCTGTATCTCTACAGAAGTAGATTGCCCAGTCTTCCTTCTGAGGAGTGGCTGGTGGGTTTGAACTGCCAGCCTTCTGGTTAACAGTCAAATGTCTTAGGCACTACACCACCACAGCTCCCTTCTCAAAGCTACTAACCACTTTTTCCGCTCTATGGTTTTGGCAGTCCTAGAAGCCAAACATAGCCTAGGCCAGCCCAACAAGCTTCTTGGACTAAGGGACTCAAGCCAGATTGGTCACTAGGTCTGCCTGAGCAAGGGAATGGCCTTAGCAGCCATATGACAAGACTTGCACAGAAGCAAGCAGGGTTCATTAGTCAGGCACACCCCTCCCCAACTCTTCCCTGCTGGGCATGGGATGGAAGCAGCTAGGCCTCACTCCCAGAAGCCTTCTGCTCTTCACTCAACAGCCTGTAGGGTGGAGACCAGATCCCAGAGGCAATCACCACCATTCTAAAAAGGTGTGGCCCCACAGCAAAGAACTCACACAAGGCACTCACAGGATGGTTTTAAGGAGATAAGATAGAATAGGGAGGTTTTGAGTAATAGAAGGCAGAGATTTGGTTGGTAGGGAGGAGGCAGAAACCAATCTTCTCCTCCAGGAGGTGAGGCAGTTCTCAAACTGGTTCCTAGTGAAGTACTGTGGCTTCTGGGTAAAAGAGAGCAGCTTCTATGAATTTCTCCATAACTCTTTACTCCTCTCCTGGTGGGAAAACATCTAGAGCTGCCTAGAAAGGCTGTGGGCAAGATAGAGAAGGTGCAGGATCTGCCTGGAGTACCTCCCTCCCTCTTTCCTCTTCAGTTCTTTTGGCCTAAGACAATAGCAGAAAGGCGCCAATTCCTTGGCTGAGGGAAATGTTTCCCTTCATACCAGTCCTCTCCTCTGTAGCCACAACCCATTAGGGTCAAAGGGAGTCCCCAAGAAGTCTTCCCCATGGCTGCATCACAGATGTAGGGTCCTGGAACCTGAGAAAGAGTTTGGCCTCATCCAGGCCACACTTGTAGCCCAGGGACCCTCTCACCCCTAGGGCGTGCCAAATAGGAACCCCACTCCTGCCCTCTCTCCACCCCAGGCCATGGCTTAGGTCACAGCGTTGGTAGGGGGGGGGAAGCAAGTGACTGGCCATCAGCAAGGGACCATGGAGGCTATTTAGAGGCCTCCGGCCGGCAGTGCCCACCCCTAGCACTCACCGTCTTGGGCATGGTGGTGGCTAAAGCCGCGGAGTTGGCGAAGTTTCTTAGGAGCTGTAGGACAGCGCTGGGCAAGTAATACGCACGCACGGTTCAGGCTCAGGGGTCCAAGGGCTCAGACTGAGTACCTCTCTAGCGTGACGGAGATTGCTCAGCTTCCTGCTAACGGGCCACGACTTTACAAACCCCACCCAGGAAAGAGCCGCCCCCGTCGCACCGCCCGCTCCTTTATGTAGCCTGGCTTCCGCGCCGCTCCCCGCCCTCGCGCCGCCTCCCGCCGGCCGCTGGCCTCGCCCCACCCAGCCCAGCCCTACTCACTGGTGCCAAACTGACCACGTGAGGGGCCAGGCTGGGCCCAGGCAGCCCAAAGGGGGCTTCTATGCCCGCCCCAGACCCACCCTGCTCTTTCCCCACCCCCATCACAGGCCCTAGCCCTCTGCATCTGGGCCATCTAGGCCCACTCCTATGCAGAGAAGGCAGGACCCTGGGCCCTGCCCTGGCAGATGCTTATACTGCTCTTGGCCAAAACTTTTCACTCATGGGGAACTCAAGTTAGCCCGTTCTCTCTCAAAACAACCCTCTTAGAAAGTTCTTCTTGTGTGTTTCTGAACTCCTTTCCTATGTGGCTTCTACCTGTGGAACTCAGCTCTTGCTCTCTAGATACAAGCACACAGTACTGCTCCCTCTGAAGATGGATCCCAGGGCCCCCTGAAATTTCTTTTCTCTTGGCTAAACTGCCTCAACTCCTCCAACCCTTCATCTATTTCTTCTTTAGGACTCTATAGCCCTTCTTCCATCATATTTCCTCACTATCCCTCATCAGCCCTCATTTTCATCAAAATTGGGATCCTTTTCTCCATATCTGTCCTCTACTCACTTTCTTTCCTCCAAATCCCAGTTCCTACCTACCTAAAATTTGTGCCCACATCTTTCAGCCCCACCCCAATACACATTACTTTTTGAGGAGGCTATAATCCCCCCAGGTTAGATACACTCCTAGTGACTCAGAATATGTCTGCCAGCTCTCTTTCTGCTTCTTGTCAAGGTTACAGAATCTCAGAGTGGCACTATTCTAGACTGTAGCAATCATCTGTTTAACTCTGTCTGAGTTGTGGTTTGAAAGTAACTGATCATAGTCCTTCTGTCTGCTATCCACTAGCAATATTATGGAACCATATTCTCAGTAACTTTGTGAGTTAGGGCACCTCAGGTATAATGAAGTGAATCAGCTCAGGGCAGTGGAAAAGATATTAGAAAGAGAGAGAGTGGGGGGGGGGGTCAGGACACCTGGCTCCTTGTCCTGGCTCTACCATTAACTCACTCTATGACTACTGTGTGGCCTTTGGCAAGTCCCTTCCCCTCTCTGAGATTCCCCTTCTGTAATAAAAAGGGCTGGACTCGAGGTTTCTAAGGTCCTTACCCACTTTCCCATTATAAAAGGATGTGAGAAGAAGTAGACTCTCTAGAACAACAAATGAGCCTAGCAGCATTGCCTAAGGAGTTTTAGTGGTGCTGTGGTGCCTAAGGCATTTGACTGCTAACCAGAAGGCTGATGGTTCAAACCCACCAGCCACTCCTTGGAGGGAAGATTGGGCAATCTACTTCCGTAGTGATACCACCTCAGAAACCCAAGGAGGCATTGCTATGAGTCAGATCTGACTCGATGGCAGTGAGTTTGGTTTCTGTTTGATGTGCTAACCAAAAGTTTGGCAGTTTGAACTCACCATCCATCCTGCAGGAGAAAGATGAGGCAGTCTGCTTCCATAAAAATTTACAGCTTTGGAAACTCTGTGTGGTGGTTCCAATCTGTCCTACAGGATCACTATGAGTCCGAAATGACTCAGTGACACTGGGTAGCAGGGCTGCATATGAAGTGGCCTTGTATTTGTACTCAAAAATCAGCAGTACTTTTCCCTGCCTTCCAGCTCAAAAGTGTCCATGAGTCAATGTGCCTCAGTTTATTTCATCGCTGTCAAGGTTCACTGAAGTGTGTTAGGGCAAACAAAGGTCCCAGCCCAAAGAGTCTTCTTGAGCTGAGCAGTTGTCAGGAGGAAGAGCATTCATTACTGCCTGGACAGCCTCAGCAGCAGGGGTAGCAGTGGCAGCCAATCACACTCATTGACACTGCCATGGTTCTTTCTTCCTAGAAGTTCAAGCAACTCTTCGATCCCCTTATTCATGTTAACAAAGAGCCCACAGGGGTATGACATTAGGCTGAGTCCCTAAAGGAGGAGGGAAAGTTGATAGGCAACTCCAAATTTCCTTATCCACTCTGGAAAGTAGAAACCTGTGTGTCATCATTGCCCAGCTCTCTTGTCAACTCCTTCCATACATACACAGGAGCTAGTGAGGGGGTGTTAAGCAGCTCTATAGGGTCGATATGAGTTGGAATTGACTCAAGGGCAGGTGGTTGGCTTAAACAGCTAAATACACTACTTAAAGGGAAAGGGGGCTACAAGATTCCAGGCTAGGAGGGGTGGGTCAGAGAGTGAAGGAGCTAGGGATGTAGGGAGGGAAAGAGGAGCTGAGAGAGATGGGTGGGTTTAGGTCCCTAGGGAGGATAAGTTTGTGCAATAGAGAAAGGGAGAGTATAGACTATCAGAAACTGGTTCATTTACGCCCACCCCCAATAGGGGAACTGAAGATCAAAAAAAAGAGAAAGGACTTACACAAGGTCAAGCAACAAGTATAGAGAATGAAATCAGGGGGCAATAGTGGAGAAAAAGAGCTCAGTTAAAAATTTATTGCAATAACTAAAGCATAAATCATTAGGGCTAGAACCAGACACAAGCCAGTTATGATGATTATGGTCAAACAGCTGGAGGTTAGACATGGAACCCTCTGGCTAAGAGGGACTCATCTCAGTGATGCCCCTGTCTCCAAAGCAGAGCAAAGGCAGCTCTCTTATTCATCAAGATTGCCAGGGAAACACATCTTTGTTTCCTACCTCTTTGAAAGCCATTTAATGACTATATGGACAGAACTTCTCATTTCCTCCCACCCCCTACCATGATCCTATGTGAACTGTGAATTAGCTCAATCTTACTGGGACCAGAATACTCACGACAATTGGGTTTAGATGTGAAGGAATTTATGTCAGTGTTTGTAGAGAGAAGATAGGGATAAAGGCTAAACATTGCCACATAAGTTGGTTTCCCTGGAAGAGGGAAATAAGAGATATGAAGAGACTTGGGTTTTCAGAAGAGCTGAATTCAGAAAATTCAAGAAGGGGCAGACAAGTCTTTTTCAAGCAGTAGAGCTAGGATGAGCAGAGGGTGGTACAGGGACATACCAGAGTTGGAGTCCAGTGAAGCTAGGGACATCCAAATAAAGGGTAGGGGCTACAAGAGAAGATTTGGCCTGGACTTTGGCCAAATATGAGAACAAGATGGAAAAGGCCAGGGATTCTTTGGGGACAGGGATTGTTCTGGAGCTGAAGCAAGTCTGGGAGTAAAGTCAAGGTAATGACAAGAAGGAATTACATAAAGCTGATTTCTATGACAACCTATGTATGCAAGCACAAGAGAGAAATGAGATTGGGCTTGTAATCACCTCCCCATAAATCATTCTCACCCGAGATCTGCACTCACTGCAATAACAATCTTCTGTAAGCTTATGAATTCTAAATGTCATTCCTTCAGAGAACATGGTAAAGAAGATCAATTCCAGAGAGGAACTGGATGTACAGCTTCCATGAATCCCAAGGGTACTTTGGAAAAAGAAACTCCCCACGCAATCCTTTGGATGGTAACAGTACACCAGACATATCCCAAGTGAGGAGACTAAGGGCACACCTATCACTTAGGACATGCTTTTCATTTTCATCACTAGTGGTAAGTCTTTCCTTATATCTAAATTAGATCTCCTCTGACCAGAACTACTAGATAATGCCCAGCTACCATTGCTGATCATTCTGAAAGGTATCACAATAAGAGGTACTGAATAGAGTGGGAGAAAATGTGGAACAAAACTCAAAATCACAAAAAAAGACTAGGTTTACTGGTCTGGTGAAGACTAGTGGAACCCCCATGACTATGGCCCTTAGACACCCTTCAAGCTAGGAACTATGCAGTCATTAGAGCAATCAAGCATATGCAATAAAGAGGACAGGATTTGCCCAGGGATAGAGCTAGGAACTGGCGAAGGAATTGGTGAAGAACAAGGCTCTGGGAATTGATGGAATACCCATTGAGATATTTCAACAAACAGATGCTGCACTGGAGGCACTCACTTGGTTACGCCAAGAGATTTGGAAGAGCTACCTTGCCAACTGACTGGAGGAGATCCATATTTGTACCCATTCCAAAGAAAGGTGATCCCACAGAATGTGGAAACTATCAAACAATATCATTAATATTGTACCCAAGTAAGATCTTACTGAAAATAATTCAAAAAAGGTTGCAGTAGTATATTGGCAGAGAACTTCAAGAGGTGCAAGCTGGATTCAGAAGAGGACATGGAACAAGGGATATCATAGCTGCTGTCAGATGGATCTTGGCCCAAGGCAAAGAATAACAGAAAGATGTTTACTTGTGCTTTATTGACTATGCAAAGGCATTTGATTGTGTGGATCATGACAAATTATGGATGATATTGAGAAGAATGGGAATTCCCGAACACTTGATTGTACTCATGAAGAACCTGTACTTTGACCAGGAGGCTGTCGTTCAAATGCAACAAGGGGACACTGCACGGTTTAATATCAGGAAGGGAGTGTGTCAGGGTTGTATCCTTTTCCCATACTTATTCAATCTATATGCTGAGCAAATAATCCAAGAAGCTGGACTATATGAAGAAAAATGTGGCATCAGGATTGGAGGAAGAATCATTAACAACCTGAGATATGCAGACGATACAACTTTGCTTGCTGAAAGTGAGGATGACTTGAGGCACTTACTGATGAAGATTGAGGAACACAGTCTGCAGAATGGATTACATCTCAATATAAAGAAGACAAAAATCCTCACAAATGGATGAATAAGCAGCATCACGGTAAATGGAGAAAAGACTGAGTTGTCAAAGAATTCACATTGCCTGGTTCTACAATCGAGGCCAATGGAAGCAGCAGTCAGGACATTAGACAACATGTAGCACTGGGCAGATCGGCTGCGAAGGAACTCTTTCAAGTGCTGAGGAGCAAGGATGTCTCCTTGAGGATTAAGCTGCACCTGACACAGGCCATGATATTTCCAATCGCCTCATATGCATGTGAGA